AATCGCAGGAATACAGGTTGCACCTATATTACTTTTAAAGATGAACAAAATGTAAAACATTTCTTCATTACTTTAATGGTAAATACAATAAAATTTAACTTACAAAATTTTTAACACAAAATAACCACGTTTTCTTGATTTATGATTGATTAACTGTGGTTAGTGTTTCAAATTGATTGTTATCATGAATCAATCTTTACACTTCGTGTAAAGTAGTGAAAATCACAAATAATGTAATAAAAGAATATTTTGCTAAAATTGATAAACTTATCATTGAAAACTGCAGCATGATGCCCTAAGAATGCCTGTGTAATTAGTACTGTATTATACTGGTGGGCATTTTACTATTTTCAAGAGAAATTTTATTTTTGTAATTTAAGATAAATATTTTTTTTAAAAAAGGAAAACATTTTTGTGTAGTTTATTGGTTGTCAAAAGAGTTGGATCTAGTGTTAGAAAATTCGAGACTAAAATAGAATTAGGGCTAGTTCTTTATATTTATCACGTATTAACAAACATTACTGTCAATAATGTAACTGTGTTCCTGTGGCTGATGACTTTAATATTATCAACTTTGTCAACAACGAAAAATCTTTGGTATTATTAAAGAAACGATTTTATTTAATCTGACAGATGACGACGTCGCTGAATGATAATCCGTCAAGCTTTTTCGTTGAATTTTATATTGTGAGTGACACTGGAGGAAAATGTATAAAAACTCAGAACTTATATCAGTTTCTCAAGAACATGTGCGAATCAGACGTTAATGACTTACTCTATACACACACAAACCTGATAATTTTGCAGCTGGATGTAATAGAAAAATCCATTTTTGCTGAATGAGTTTTAAAATTAAGAATAATATCAAACGTTTTAAATAAGAATTACTGTGTAGGGAGTTCGCATGATTGTAAACATATTTGTACTACATATGTGATATTTGCAGGTACACTAATTGCCTGGTAACTAAACCTAATAGCAAGATGAATGACAGGAAATGATGTTATTTGGAGTTCGAATTTGATTCTGACTTGAGTGAGTTGAAGAAAGAGCCCGAACACAAGTTTTAGAACAAAATAAAAACAGCTTATTTAATATATATATAAGATACAGGACAAACAAATACAACTCAGTCCAAAAATATGTTCACTGGATAAAAGAAGTTCGTAATAACCTCTATCTAGGTGTGGAAAGAGATATACTGGAGCAATTCTTAATAAGACTGAGAAAGCTACCCATTATATATAAATCGCAAACTATAGTCGTCTCTACTAGAGTACATTGAAAGTCATATTATGCACGTGTTGCTAAACCTTTACACAGTTGTCTTAAAAGAAAAGTTACATAATACTGAACCATATAATTCTCCAATAACAAATGGAAATGGCTTATGACGATGTGATTGTAGTGCCACCGGCAAGTTAGCTATATTCCATAAATGTTTTTTTTTTTTTTATAATTAAAACTATTTGTGCACCTGAATTCGTGTAAGTGAAAAACATTTAGATAAGCAATGATGTAACTAAACTTAAAAGGGAAATAAATACATGCTTTTCGACACTTGCCATCCATTTTGCAATATTTGCTCTCTTTTGCAACTTTGTTTCGAATATTTGCACTATACTATATCAGAACTGTGTTGATTCTATAGCTGATAATAAGTATGGGGACGAGAACACTAATTTAATCACACTTGTCCAACCAATTTACTTACCTCTTGAATAAAATTCTAACTGTAAGAGAATCAGTAGAGTTGAGAGATCACTCTCTTAGGAAGTCATAAAATATTTTAAATGAGATCTGTATTTTCTCAAATATATTTAACAAGCCGATATGAATGCAATCTCAACTCTTTAAAAGTTATAAAATGATAAAATTTCTGGTTTTGACTCTCAGTCTTTAACCTAAAAGAGATTAATTTTGAACAAATATACTTTTGTACAGGCACCGGTTTCGGACTACTTCTGAAGCAAGCAGCAGTACCGGTGGTACCGAGGCGGCAGTGTCAGGAATGGTATGGTCCCGATTTCCGTATCGATGGAAATATTATATGTGCCGGTTTTCCCGATGGCGGCCACGGTTCTTGTAACGTAAGTTTATATATATATACACTTGTAAGCATAAATATTTATGAAACAAGTGATTCGGTTGTTGCTAAACATAAAACTACACGGTGAGATATCTGTGCTCTGCTCATCGCGGGTATCGAAACCCGAATTATTGCGTTATAAGTCTGCAGACTTACCGCTGAGCCACTGGGGGTGGGGGGAACAAAACACAATGACAAGTACAATAAGTATTTTTCTATTTTAGACTACTGCTGTCTGAGGATTTTGAAGTAAAGGACACGACTGTTAAAACTAACATCCACTAGTTTCTTTACTAGTCTCTAAAAGGGTTTACACGAATATTAATCGTTACAGTTTAACACGAATATATTGTGAAAATGGTGAGAGTTTTATCATTGACTCAAAGTAAAAAAATGAGATTTAGTTTCAAAACTATGCTGAGGAGCCTGGTATACTTTACGTTTTCTTATCATATATGCATTGTTTATAATATTAAGTAAAACGACCGAACAACGCTTTATAAATATTAAAACACTGGGAGTATGTGGCACCTTTAGAATCAGTCGTTAAAGCTTTATTATCTAGTTACTTTATTATCAATCTTTTCAAATGACTGTACACGAGAAAAACGTAAAACGGGTTTTTCAATAAACGCGCTTTTTCTGTGAACAAAATAAAAAAGGAAAAATAAAATAAAAATTCAATATTTCAAGATATTTTGTTTGCCTTTAAATATACGATGTTTTATTATACATTCGAATGAAAATAAATGACCACAATCGAAAGAAAAGAATGATAAAAGAAATAATCGCATACTAAGAAAAGTTTAGGACATTTCTCCATAAATATTTTTTTGTGTGACAAAAATCACGTAAAGTGCAGAGTTTCTATTTTTGCAGTTGACAAGTAACTAATGAATATAAAATGATAAGATAAACTAAAACCATGTGATTATCTTAGAATACTTTCAAATGCTTATTTAGTTTTAAGTTGATTGGTTGTTTTAGAGCTCAGCCTAAATTGAACCATCTGCTGTGTATACTGTGGGGAATCGAACCCCCTGATTTTAGCGTTGTAAGTTCCTAAACGATCATAACTTTGTAAGTCATAAGATAAAAAAAACAACATTAAAATATCAATGCCAAATGTATATGGTTTCACATTTACTTGTTTGTGATGTAATATTTGCAAAACAAATACTGTATTGGTCCGATTATAGGGCGATATCGAATATAAGGCGACTCCCATTTTCAGAAATCATGGGAAAGAAAAACAAACTGAGTGTCATAACGTTCTTTTTAGGACCGCAAAATTAATACTATAACTAAACAGCCAGCAGATATATTAGTTGCAAAAATTAGCAATTGGCGCGCAGACGGATGCCATCTGAACATTCAGGAATGCGACAGGTTAGAATAGGGGGAAGGAGCCTGTGGTATATAAGGCGACTATGAATGTTACAGCCTAATTATTAATACAAAACATCGCCGTATAATCGGAACAATACAGTAATCAGTTATTGTAAAACAATAAAATGATGCAAGAATAGGATAAAATAATCATAATAGTAAAATCAGATTGGATAGAAGGATATACATATTAAGACACTTTACGATATTTCTCCAGAAACTTAATTTTCCTTTGTGATAAAAAATCGCGTAAACTGTAGATTTTTCCCATGGTTTGTTTCGGAAGCAAAATCAGAGGCGTGTACAATAGTATTTTGTATTCAAAATGGAAAAATTGAGAGGAATGTGGTGGTGATAGTGGGGGAAGGGACATTTTCAGCTTACGAGATTTTTATTACAAATGTTAGGAATATTAGTTTGTAATGCTTCGCCAGCTTTCAGCGCTTAAATCATAATTTCCCTTTATTTCTACAATATTTTGACTCTCTCTTTTTGGAGTCTTCAACATTATATTGGTTAAGAAGGTCAGTTAGAATGCTTATTTGTTTATAGTTAAGTGCAAAGCTACACAATGGGCTATCTGTGCTGTGCCCACCACAAATATCGAAACCCGATTTTTAGCGTTGTAAGTCCGCAGACGTACTGCTGAGCCATTAGAGGATCAAGTAAGAATGAGTTGTACCACCTAGCAACAACAGCGACATCTGCCTATTTACCTTAATTGTTATAAAATAACTAATTATTAAAAGATACAAAAGATAAAAACATTTCCAAATGAACATATAATTCAGTAGAGTAATAACATATTATGCCAATTAGAACATATTAATTAAAATCAATCACCTATTGAAATGTTTGTAGATTATTTTGTCTTATTAATTAGCTATAATACAATCTTAATTTGAACTCCAGTTGTGTTTTGTTCCCTTTTAGTGACCCTTTTCCTGATTTTTTTTTTTATTGTTGGATTAATAGAGTTTTCGATCCAACTTCTCTATTTCATAATGTCTTGCACAACATTCGGGCAATAGGTTGAACATATACAGTACCGTTCAAAAATCTGAGTTCGAAGTACTGACACTCAAGTTTTCAAGAAAGTTCAGTTTCGGTTGAAGTGTTATTTTGATGCCCAGTGTTGAAATATAACGGTAACAAACATAATTTGGAAACATAACATACTTTATAATTAATATCCAGCTATTTTTATCTTTCATCTAGCTTAAACTGTATTATTAGGCATAGATACAATAAATAATTTTTAAAAAGTAACACCTTTTTCACTTGTTCTTGACAGTCTTCTAAAAATGTCTTTAATTAGTTGTCTGCTGTTTTGGCAGGCATTACTTTTCAACTGTGCTACACATTTAAACTGGGTTACCAAGGAAAATATTACACTAGTTTTGTCATAATTACGTTACCAGCTCTTTCTTTTCTTTGTAAATACTTATTACTCAGCAGATGTTATGTCGTGGATCGTTATTCTGTTGAAACTAAAAGCCAGGGTCAATTCAACGTTTTTCATTGGGTATTGCATGACGAACTAGGATGTTTGTTTGTTAAATTTTGCTAAAAGCTATTCGAGGGCTATATGCTCTAGTCGTGTAGGCAGCTAGTCAACATCATCCGCCTCTTTCTATTGGGCTACTAATTTACCAACGAAAATTGGGATTGACCATGACATTATAACGCCCCAAGGCTGTTTGGTGACGGTACATGAACTCTCGACCTGCAGATTGTGAATCGAGCGCCCTAACCACCAGGGTATGCCAGGTTTCAACTAGGGTGTCGTGGTTATATGTTAGTTCCGGATATTCGCGCTAAACGTTCCGAATTTTGAGCTTAAGCCTACAGTGAAAGCGGTTAGTTAACGGAACCCACCTAGAGTTGTTGACCTACTTTAATCGGATAGTGGGATTTGGTCATCGCTCTTATAACGCACCTGTGGTCCTAAAGTTCAGAGCGCGAGTTTCGGCCATGAAACGCAAACCGTGGATCCTAGGATTCACAGCCCAGCATGCTAATCTTTGGCCCAGGATATTGTGATAGTGCTCCTTCTTGTCGTGACAATATCTCTAATTTCTAAAGCGTGAAATCTTTCCCAGTCCACCATGTTTTACTGTTTTTGCTTTTACGTTCTTGCCTAAACTTCTCATGGCCATTTCTTCATACAAAAAAAAAACTTGTTTACAAAATGAGAAACTTTCTTCCGTTAGATTGTGGCACATTGTCATCTATGTTAATTGTATATTTCGAGGTTTATTTACACATAAAATGTATGGTTACCAAGGTCATTTATTCAGTTGGTTTGTACAGTTGTATTTAAACTTGAAAACCAGTTTGTTTGTTTGTTTTTTTCAGAATTTTAAAGAGTGGTGAACCCTATATTTCTATTTTTAAATTAAATCTATATAGTGTAGTTGACAGAAAACCACTTCTTGCCTGTTTTACCTGACTTGTCATTTAGTGACGAAATGTTGAAATTGTACATTATTTTTTTAGTTTCTTAGTTAGTATTTTCAGTGGCACAGGAGCTGTATGCTCTGCTGGTTATGTCGATGTGTGGATTGGGTGTCAATTGAAGTATTTGGGTGAACGTGAGCGGTAAACGACGCCACAAGTCTAATTAATTGACGAAGAGTATGAAAAGGGTCGAAGAGGGTTGATGATGAAAGATCCTCCATCTCTGTTATAACTCCATTTTAAGACTTGGCCTGGTTCTTTGATTGGTTCTTATACTGATATTAAGACCATACATATCCTGCATTTATTTCTGGAGATTTGGGAACCAATTTGACTTTGAAGCTCTTTGAATGACGAACCGAGTATTGTCTAGTGACTAACGTGCTCCGACTGTGAATCAGATGAGTCATCATTTGCAGCCCCTCACCACAAAAATATGCTTCTCACTTTGAAGCCACATGTTCGTTATAAGAGTGATGGTCAAATTATATTATTTGGTGAGACAAGAATAGCTTAAGAGTTGGTGATAGGTGCTTTTCACTAGCTGCCTTCTGTCTGGTTTATCATTTTAAATACAAGGATAACTATATGCAGATACTTCTTTGTGGAATACATTCAATCCAATCGTGGTGGGTACTTAGGTTTAATAATCCAATCAATCCAATCGTGGTAGGTAGTTAGGTTTAATAACCCAATCAATCCAATCGTGGTGGGTACTTAGGTTTAATAACCCAATCAATCCAATCGTGGTGGGTACTTAGGTTTAATAACCCAATCAATCCAATCGTGGTGGGTACTTAGGTTTAATAATCCAATCT